TATTTGCATTGTCAGGGCATTTGTTTTATCTGGTGCAGGTCCCTCAGAAGAAGAGCTCAAGGAGCTGCGGCAGAAACAAATGGAAGCAAAGGCCCGCAGAGAAAAACTACGAGCAGCACAGCGACAGCAGCAAACGGTTTAGGGTTTAGGGCTGGGGGTTTGGTCCTAGCAGGTAGGGTTTAGGGTTTGGGGTGTAGGCAAAAAGACGACCAAACGTCTGCACTGCACCGCAAACGAAACCTCTCAAGCCAGACTTTTTCTGTGTTCATTTATTCTTTTGGCGTGGGAGAGTTGAAACCTCAACGGTGGTAGCAATGCTTTGTAAACATTAAGAATACTGTTTAGTATTACGTAGAGGCAGTCGTTATAGTACTCATTATGCTCGTACTGAGGGCAGAGAAAAAACAATGACGGTGAAGCCGCGGGCCCGCGTGGCGGTAGCAGTACCGCCAGCATTGGAGCTGATGATAAATACCAGTAACGATGAATGGCATGAGCTGAATACACACGAATCTGCTGTTGGTGGATAGAGCCCCTGGATGCTTACTGCTGAACGCTTGCAGCAACCGTCAGACTGCGCTTAGAACTGAAGAGTGAACTCAGCGGCTATACAGACGTCCCTACAAATATTAACTGCAGCAGCGAGCGATGGTAGAGCGCGGACTAATGTTAGCTGCAGTTATGAACTGTACAGGAACGATCATTGTCGAGGCAGTAATTATAGCAACAGCTGCAGCAACTACCCTGCTAATGGGCAGCAGCAGTTTCAGTGAGTGTTCAAGTTAACATGAAGAAAATGGAGATGGGGCAGTTGGTTGCCCCCACAGAAAATATGATTTGCAGCTTTCAGGTTTTTTCTGTACACTGCATTTTGAACAATGATTGTGACGCCGAAGAGCTGGCGTCTAAACAACAGCAGGAGGAAAGGTAGTTATTGTTCCCACTGCTGCTATGAAGTAGGAGCAATTGCGATGGTATACATGTAACTGCAGTTGTTGCACATGTATATATATATATATTTCTAACTATATGTGGACCTCTGGCCACTTATATATATGCATGTATCAGTTCGGCGCCATGGGTTTTACATCTTGGTGCCACGAACGTCTGCGGGGCTGCGGTCGAGGAGGTTCGAGAGGTCATTAACTTTGTCATCCTTTGTGCTGGGGCCCCCGTGTGCATGCACTCCTGTGTAGAGGCTTTTGTCATCGTGGAATTTGTTTGCCATGGCCTTGGTGCCGGTGTATACGGGCCCCGCAGCGCTGGTAAGCTGGGAAACGAGCTCTTGAAAGCCGATTTTCTTCTTTTCGGCGATGAGCTGCAAAGCCTGCTCGAACTCTGGCTCAGTGATGGTCTTGGCGCCCTTTTGCTTCACCTTGGCGAATATGAGGTCTGCGTCGGTTGTTGTGTACAGCTTGCAGAACACCTTGCAGTCCTTGCACACCTTTACGAACGTCCGGCCGTCCATAGCGGCGGCCCCGTGGGTGAAGGAGTCAAAGACGCTCTGGACCGACATCTTGAGGCTGCTGATGAAATCAACTAACGCAACTTACAGACCCTAAACGCACTCACACGCAAAATGCCAAGCTCGTAATGATGGAACAGGGCCACACGCAATACGAGCACCCGAAGAACAAAAAGAAAGTGGAATACAAACGGTAAAATGGTATATTTATGGAATGCTTGTAGTCTGTACGCGCCCGAGAAGCACGAGCACCCGAGGCTATGGACACTGATAGAAGCAACAGAGGCTTGCCTGATTCTTAGAAGGGAAGCTGCACTTCTGCTTCATAAAATGTGTTTATTATACTTGCGATATTCTGAAAAACAAAGAAGGTAACTCTACGCTGGCAGTACCAGCTGAAAACTCGCCGCCGCCACAGAGGGTGCATAAGGCCCGTACTCATCGAAGCACGCGTGCACTGTCGAGTTGCTGCTCGAAACCAGCGTGAAATCCCACAAACGTACAGGAAAAAGATCACAAAAAATATTTTAAATGTTAAATTGGCACGTTTTTGCCGTTTGGCTCATTTATGGCCTCTATTTCATACAGAAATATTGCAGCGAAAACGATCGCTGAAGGTCACCGCCGACTTCGGCTCCTCAGCACAATCACGATGTCTTCTACAAGGACATATTGAAATAATGCTGCACATATACATAATGCTGCACGTAAACTCAAACAAAGGATGTTAACCCGAATTTGTCCTAATTTTGTTCTAAAACACTCTCCCCAACGAGCAACACACGCAACGCAGAAGTCACGCCGAGATGGCGTCGGGGCCTTGAGACTGCCTGTAGACGGGTGATGTGCATACAGAAGGTTCACTAAGGAAAAACAGATATATAGGGTAAATGAAATCTAGCCGCAATATAAGCGGCACGAATGAGCGTCACAATGTGCACGTTACCGGTTCTATGACTGCAGTTGAGTGCCAGTGGCATTCATTCAAAAAAAGAACACATCGAGCTCCGTTCTCCATAGTCCTTCTACCCCATAGAGAAAAGCGTTTAATCAGACATAATTTCATTTCTATATATTTGTATATATATGCATACATGTAAGGATTCTCTGGCGTGTGATATTTAAGGCGCAAATGCGCAAATACTTAGCCTCGACGCAAGTCACACTGGGGGTCTTCAATTTCTGCACAGGAACTGACCGCCCAACGTTCGAGCCAGAGTCAAAAAGTTACGCAAAGGGTAAAAGCTCAGTCCTTAGTAGAGCAGAAAGCTAAAAATGCAAACAACAACGAGAAGAAAAGGAACAAAGGTGTAGAGCCGATATAGTAACAAAGAAGCGACAAACAAACAAGCTGCATATGAAAACGATGCAGTGGAGCTACACGTGCAACAAATAGTTGATGTGTAACAAATCAAGACAAAAACTGCGGCACGGGAACAGAGACGTTCCCTCACTCTTTCAACTCCATCATGCTTCGTGAAGCAAGCCTATTCATTGAAACCCTTTTGTTTACTGGGACTATGCTGGGCGCCATAATGCCATTTCTATTTTCTAGATATCTTAGTTAGTAAGCTTGTTTTTGCTAAGGAGAACTAACATATTTAAGTATGACATAGGAAATGTAAAGGGTGCATATGTATGACAACAAACTGCAAAAAAAAACGAATTAATTCTAAATAGAACAAGTGCAACACAAAAGCATCCTAAGGCAGCAGAGCAATTGAGCTTGGAGGATAAAAACCTTATCGCTCCTTCGCAGCCAATCATTAAGCTGCTGCTTTTGCTCTTGGTGCTGCTGCTACTGGAGCTGCATCTGCATCGGTTGCTCTTGCTGTTGCTGTTGGTGTTGCTGCTGCTTCTGCGCTTCATCTGCGCATCTGACGCAGCTGCAGGTGAATTGGTAGCTGTTGAGGAGCTGCTGCCTTTCTGGGGCTGCGAGGTCAAGAGGAACGTACGAAATGGTGATCTCCTCCCCAACCTGAATGTCTTTGTCTGCCTTGAGAGCAATGAAGGCATCATGATCGTTCTGTACGGTGCAGTTCGGGCTGCAGCTGTGGTTGCAGCAGGCCTGCAACACGTACACTCCAGCCCCCCGCAGAATCATCAGGCACCCGGCTGTCGTTGATCCCCACACCAACAGCGCCTGTGCGTTCCTCATGAGGCCCCCGTAGAAGAAGGCCAAGGCGTTTTCACCCAAGAGGGCCCCGGCGGCATCAGGACCCAACGCAGTTTCTAGGGCCCCCCCCAGCTGCTGCTGCAATAGCTGCTGCGCTCGTTGAATATCAAAGGTACAAAACACATCAGCAGCAGCAGCTGCAGACAGACGCAAAAAGGGACGGCAGGCCTCTGCATATGCAGCTTCTAAGTCCAAGTTGAATGCATTTCTTAGAGTCACAGTTGTTGCTGCAACGCGCGCCACCGCACGGCNGCTTCTAAGTCCAAGTTGAATGCATTTCTTAGAGTCACAGTTGTTGCTGCAACGCGCGCCACCGCACGGCCCAGGGCCTCCACTCCTATGGGGTTTTCAGTATTTGTATCTTTTTCAGCTGCTTGCATTTTCTCTTGGCTCCTTTTAGCTGTCTCGTTGTTTAATGCTGAGCTTTCTGTTTTCCTTTCTGCATCTACTTCCCTCATCTCTCGCATTTCACCTCCTTTTACACTTGCCCCGGATCCAGTGGTGACACGCTGCTGCTGGTCATAGTGCCGCAGACGGAGAAGTGCTCCTAGAGATAAGAACTCCATCCACCCAAATTCACGCTGCTCCTCCCACTTGTTGCTGCTGTTGCTGTTGCTGGAGTTGGCGGGGCTCATCAACGAGCCGTCAAGGTTGCGCTTGCTGCGGGCAGCAACAGCATCAGCAGCAGCAGCAGGTGATCCCCCTTCTACATCTGCTGTTTTCGTACCCCCACATGCCTGATGGTAGCACCTCGGGCTGCAAAACCAAAGAGCCTCCCTCCCTTCTGTTTCACGCACGCAGATGCCCGCTTCCTCTTCCTCTCCCTCAGAGGCTGCTGCTGCCGCAGCAGCAACAGATTCCACTTCCTGTGACGCCGCCTCAGCAGTCTGGCTCGTTGTTTCTGCTGTTGTGGATGCTGCAGGGTGTGCCAACGCGTGCCGCTGCTTCTGTTTGTGTTGTGTGGGCTCTGGGTGGAAAGGGCGGATCTTGAGGCAGTTTTCACAGAATGAAAACGCCTCAAAGTCAGCAGAGGCCTTCACCGGCCAGGCGATGAGAGGGGCCTCCATAAGAAGGGTCTGTCCTGCAGCTATTGGCTGGGAGGCCCTCAACTCTTTCCCATGGGGCCCCCAACGCACGGCGAACGGGTANGTCCTGCAGCTATTGGCTGGGAGGCCCTCAACTCTTTCCCATGGGGCCCCCAACGCACGGCGAACGGGTACGAGGAGCACAGCGCCGCGTAGTCCGCAGCCCATTCAAAATCCGACGACATTTTTATGAGTATACTTTGGCTCAACAACTGCTAATAAACACAGAATAAACAAGTGATAGACCGACATGCAGCGGAGCATACGGTCGATTCACTTGGTAGGTGTACACAGACGATAGAAGAGGTTCCTGCCCTGTCGTTAAACTCAGTAAAGGAGTTTTCAAGTAGGAATGGGTCGGAAGGTGGTGTTACTGCAGCAATTTACTTGGTGGTAGAAGAAGGCAGCAGAAAGAAACGGTGTAGGTAGAGGGCCGGCACGAGGAACAATGAAAGGCAGTAAACCCTGTTTGCACAAGTTTAATTGCATATAATTTTGGTTTTTGTGTGGTTTTCATATAAATCGATCTATTGGACTGCATTGGGGTGTACATTAAGGCCTCAAGATGGAAGGCCAGCGGGGCTGGGCCCCTCGATGCAACGCTCTGGGGTTGACAGGGCCAGGAGTCATGAGAAAGAAATCCTCTATTTGCCACGCAAAACCGGAATTTCTCAGTTGTAAACAGTTCAACTCGGCTATGCCGGAGTAGTAATGAATCTCGAGGCGGCGTCAAGTCGTCGACAAAGCGCTCGAGCCTCTGAGGCAGTCCAGACACGCCTAGTATCTCCGGCAGCGTGTGCAGGCAGCCGAACCTGCTACGATGTTCGATTCACCAAAAAATAATCAGGAACATCATCCCAGAAGTGTTGAGTCTTAGACAAAACGGGGGAACAAAGGTCGGGTTGTGCGTCGCGCCGTAGCCCGTTGCGTGCTTTAGGGGTCAGCCGCCGGATGCAGACTTCTGCTGTTGCAGCCATTCGGCTGCGCCCAGCACCCACGCAGCACACACGTAGTGAATGACTGTGATTGTACCTGCGTGGATAACTCTAACCACAAGCAAACGACCAGCATAAGTGTGAATGTGTCTGAGAAGTGCGAAACAATAACTAAGAAGGAAATATATGCCTCTAACGAGTATAATAGGACTGACCCATTGTAGTGCGCCAGCACTACAACGGCTCAGTTCTATAAGACCTCGACTGCAGTGCTGGCGCACTGCACTTGGGGTTTTACGAGCTGTTTTGGCATACAATCGACCCGCGTACGTGCATGTACAAATTCAATTAACAGTATCAGTGGAAATCGTCATATGTTTCAGTGCAAGTGGAAGGGCATTAATGGGCTTAGGGAATTTATGATGGCGTACTGTGCCGTGTGCATACGTAGTGGTAGAAGCTCTCCGCTCCTATCAGCGGCACATCTGGAAAAAAGGAATCGTCTTCTCTTCATCTTGCAACAACTGCAGCCCCGGCAAGACAATTGCGACGGCGTGCATGCATTTCTCTGTCGTTTCCTTCGCTGCCTCTGCACGGCATAGGAGCAGCTTCCGCCATCCTCCCTTGGGACACCATTTCCACTTCTCTTCCCGTAGAGGATCCCAAGGACCGCTGATGGCTTCACTCCCCCATTGCTTCCCGCCACATACCGTGTCGTCTAGCTGCCTCATCTACACCATGCGTTGGATTATCCCATGGTGAACACTGTAGAATCCCCGCACCATTGGAATATTACCAATTCCCGGCTTAAGCACTCATTTGAAGCCCACAGTTTTGCAGATACTCATACCCCGCCAGCTATCTGCAAAACGTGGTAGCAGAGACTGCGCCAACAAATAGACATATCCTTGGCGTAGTTTCAGCTACTACGCTCACTCCTCATCCGATGTTCAGTAGAGACAGAAACTCATGAGAATGAATAGGAACTTGGATAAGCACAAAATTGGCTCAAGGTGGATCAGCGGGCGCGGCTACCACGCCTTTCGGCCTCACTACTGCGTCGCACGCTGTGTGGGGGCCTTGGCATTTCCCTCATCCCCTGGCTACGCTGCTCGAACCTTTGCTTTTTCAGTTCCCTAGCTGTTTCCGTTCGTCTGCAGATGGGAAGTATTTAACCTTGCTTATCGCAAAAGAAGCAGATTCGCCTGTCGCGACATCTCCCGGAATTTCGGAGTACCGGGTCCGCTGACTGCAGCCTATTCTCGCCTAGTATCTTTTTCTATGCTGACCTGCATTCACAGTCCGTATATTCGTTGGCTTAGCATCCTGGCAATTCCAAGTAATCTTCTTCCCCTAGTATCTACGGTGGCGGAAGGGAGGTAAACGGGAAGCTTTTATCTTTCTTTGCCAGATCGTTTCTGTGAGTTCCACCCTCCCACTGCTTAATTCCATTTGGGTGTATAGCCGATTACAGATTGCCGTTTTCCAGGGGACACCCCTAACCATTAATATAGAACCTCAAACGCCATCGTTGGGAATGATGGTTCTCGATGCGGCGCCTTGTTTACCGCTTCTTATGCTTAATTATTCAGTACCATTTATCCTAACCGAAACGAGGCTAAACCTACATTGCAGTGCATGACGGACAGCTTCAGTACTTCAGATGTACCTCGGAAACCGGGTGCCCATGCTTAGATAGTCACAACTGCCTTCTCTGCCATTATAAAAGGAAGTGCCGATAGAGACATTACCTCTGCGGGGAACATTTTACGACTAATCTACACGGAAGCAAGCAATTTCTCCAATGCCTTCGCATCGTGGCACACATTATAATTGGCCTGGCGGCAAGTGCAGAGGCATTCTTCATGAATTGTTTTCGCGGGAAAACTATTTGGGTCTCAGTGAGTGATCTGCGGATACTGCGGTCTCTTGCGGCGACCCTCCTAACAACCAATAGCCTCCCCGCCAAAGGAGAGACGCGGATCATTGTTTCGCACTTAAGGGGGAAGCAGCTGATTTTTGGGCGAGGACTTCAGGCGAAGTATCTTACAATGATTAGTGTGCTTAATATCTAAAATGTCCGTTTCTCTCGTTTTGGCAAAACGCCTGGACGCCAAGCAAGTGCAATGCAGCAGGCCTCTTGGTAAGAGGGGTGAGCTTCGCTGTTCACGCCTGCAACTATGTCGCGCCATCGAGTGTAACGGGACTCCTCGATCTTAGCCGAGGGCAGTCATACTTAACAATAGATAGCCATACCGGCCCTCTGGCCTGCAGTTGGCGCGAAGAGGAGACGGCCTCATATATGAGTTTCAGCGCAGCTTGTTCCAACGCCTGCTACAAAGCATCCTCTCTAACAAGGATAATCAGAACCCTTTTGCTGTATGCGATGACACTGTAGATAATTGTTGAGCGCTTGCTGGGTCCTCAGTACCCAGGTTGCATGCAAGTAGCACTACTTGTACAAATTATAGCATGTTTCGAGGAGCAAACCAACCTGTCGAGACGCGGAAAAAAAGTGCTGGCTGAACGAATTATGCCATCTCCTGTTCATACTTATTTTGTAAGTTTCTGAATATTCTTCAATTCTATATTAGAGGGAAACTGCGGCAAACTGCTCCTGGGGGCAGCAACGTCAGCCAGGCTAGCCAAC